GGGGGGGGGGGGGGGGGGGGGGGGAGTAACTATAGCAAGGACATCCCTGTTGGGAAAAATAAGAGCTAGAAGAAGGGGAGGGGAAACTGTTTTCAGTGTCTTAAGAAACTAGTTAAAAATTGCTGTTCTGTTGGGGATCAGTAATGAAGCATTCTTATTCCCCCTAGAGTACCCATGTCTTTTCTGAGTGTTATCTTTAATTGAATTCCATAATTTTAAAGAAAAGAAAAAAATACAGTGGAGCTTCTTATGTCTACACCCTTACGATGTTTCTAGGTTGTTTATTCTGTCGATGCTTAATAGCATAATGAAAAACTGAGCAGTTTATGCTCTGAGTCTTGGGGAGGTGGGAGTTTGTTTTGTTCTGTTTTGTTTTGCTGGAAGTACTTAAGCCAACTTAAATATGACTGAGGATTAAGTCTGGCAGGCAACTCTGTATTTTGTATTAGACTTCAAAATCTTTTCTTCTTCTTCTTTTTTTTTTTTTTTTTTAAATCCAGGAGAATGCTTTATTGCAACTTTTAGCTGACTAGATGCTTAACTTAGTAACAAGTTTAGCCCTTGTAACTGGCTAGCTAAAAGCAAATCGGCTTGTTTCTCAGATCTTTGGGGGATAGCAAGAAACATTTGAGTGAATGTTGTTGAAGATTTTCAGTAGTATAGAAAATGATGGCGCTCTTGTGATATTTGTAAGTAGTAAGTAAAATTTACTTTTTGTGTACAAATCTTTGAAGTTTTTGTTGTGTTGAAAACTTTCATGGTAGCATGTTAAAGCTGATAGTATTGTCTTTTTTTTTTTTTTTTTTTTTTTTCTTTCTTTTCTTTTACAGCAAGCAAGGATTTGGCACAGACATCCTATTTCATGGCTACCAACAGGTTGTTATCCTGACCCTCTTTGTTGCACTGTTGTAGCACACTATAGCTTCCTTTAATGCAGGGCCCCCTCAATGTGTCTCTTACCCTTGTTGCAACAGGAGAATGGACCATCTACTGTGGTGGTACCTTCCTGTTTGCTTTGCGGTGTATTGTACAAGGGACTTTGGGCACAGAGGGGTTAAATGCACAATGTGAAGTGTAGTGGTGCTTTCTGATGACATATTCTCGATTTGTGAGTGCATAAGTCTAAAATTGGTAGCCTGAATAGCAGCTAAAGATTACAAAGAGCTAAACTTAACGTAGAAATTCGAGCAACTTGGTAAGTATAAAGCTATTTCTAGTTTACAATTATAGTTAAATGACAGTTTAAAATTTTTTTCACATTGATCCAATCTTAACTTTAAAATAATCATTAAAGTTTTTTTAATAAATAAAATTTATGTAACGGGATTTTTTTCTAGATAATTCCCACTAGCAATAAATTAGAAGTAGTCAAGTCCTATCAGTGCCTGGATTTGCATAAATACAATTTTTACTTTAAAAAACTTACTTCCTTTTCAGTTTATATAAAGCTAAAAGAGGTATCTGTGGCTGATCAGTAAACATTTTCATCAGTTCTTAAACTGAACTGGAAGAATAGTTTAAGGAGCCTTTAATATCTAATGTATAATTCTGTTCTGGATTGATTATATTGATGATTTAAATTTGTTTTTTAAGTGGGTCATTGGGGAAGAGAGGACCATATCTCAGCTTTGTGTGGTCCTTAGTTTCTTATGACACTGATAGGTTTTGTTTAAATTTTTGGATTGGCAGATACCAATATATTTTCTCAGATATATGTTGTTGGGATTTAATCTCTATCCCTAGGAATACTGAGGGAACTAAAAGACTTAAATTAAAAACTTTGGTTAAAAGAGGCTAGCTGTGACTTGTTATATGCCAATTTTTAGTATATAGTGGAAGGAGAAAGGTAGTATTTTTGTAGTACTTAGCAACATTGGGCCTTGAAGCTGTTTGGCGAAAGGTAAGTTTTCTTTGTGGCTTTGCTGAAAAGAAGACACAGATAGATAAGTGTTAAATTCTCCTTGATTTACTAGAGAATTATGTCTGTTAAGCCACATCAAATGGTATCCTTGATTTTGATGTGACATTGAAATTTGTCGATTTTACAAATAGTTGTCTTTTTCTTTACATTTTTGCCATGGCATTACAAAAGAAATGAATTTCACAAAAAAAGTTTAAAGTACTATACTTGTATATAGCAATTATTGCAAATATACTATCTTCCCTTCCTTTTATAAAATAGTTTGAATTTAGATATAAAAACAAAATTTTTAAATATTAATATTTTGGTAGTATTAATAAAATGTTAATATAATTCTCTGTGTAGTGCGGGTGAGGGGGAATGTTCATCTATATAGTTGTTTTTAGTGTTAGAATTCTTATAACGTTAGCTTTTAATTTAATAAAATAAGATTTTGTACTCTAGACTTAAAACCTTTATCATTTTGCTATAGTCTTACTGGTAAATGTTTTTCTTTGTTTTACATATTTGAATTTCTATGGCTCTTCATTTTCAAACCTGCTCTACAATAGTCTACATCTTACAACCTTCTGTCTTCAGTACAAACCAACAGTGATAGCATGTGTATGCATTCATTTGGCCTGCAAATGGTCCAATTGGGAGATTCCTGTATCAACTGATGGAAAGCATTGGTGGGAATATGTGGATCCTACAGTTACTTTAGAATTACTAGATGGTGAGTAGAGAAAAGAAATCTTTTTACTTTGAAAATATTTCTTAAACTTTTTATTACATAAAAATTGTATCTACTTCTGTATAAATTTGAAAAATAGTAAATTCCTATGCCCGTTGCCCAGCTGAACAGTTGTCAATTCTGACCAGTCCAACACACACACCTCCCGCAGTTATTTTGATGCTAATCCCAGATGTCATTTCATTTATTAATATTTCAGTTTGTAATTCAAAAGATAAGGATTCTTTAAAAACATAACTATAATTCCCTTTTAACAATTTGACAATAAAATTTAAAAGTATAATTACACAATCAGGAACAGGAAGAAAATAAGGATTCATTAGCCTAAAGGGAAAAAAACAGCTGAGTGTGTATTAATCACCACTAGTCAAGTCCTTTGAGGACTTTTCAAAGAAATATGATTAATAATGCTATAGGCTGATAGGACAAGAATACCTATTTAAAGTATACTAATTTTGTTGAGTTTAAAGTGTGTAGACTCAAAATCAGGTGTTAATTTATTGTATAAGATGTGAAACAGATGTGAATTTGAATAAGTAAGGAAAATTGGGGGGGTATGAGTTCTATAGATTATGAACCCGGAATTTGGGGATCTCCTGATAAGAAATTTCTCTGGTTGAAAAATAAGAGAAGCTGGCCAGAGATGGGAGATTCTTGGGTTTAGGACATTTTAACTAGGAACTGTGTTTCAGAAAGGAAATAGACAACACTTCTTACCTAATAGATACCTCCAAACTGCTATATCAGATTTTTCAGCTTACTCTTGCTGTGAACTTTTCCCAACTCCCTTTACAAAATTGAGGCTAATGGGAAAACAGGATTTACATTTGTTGCTATTGACATCTGTTACATAAAGTGAGAGGCCCAGGTAGCTTTGGAATGTGGCCTTCCGGTAAAATCTTTGGTGTTTCTTTAAGATAGAGGTCTGCACCCTTTTCTGTGAAGGGCCGAAGCAAAACCATTTTAGAGTTTGTGGACCATAAGGTCTCTGTCGTTAACTATACACCTCTCTACTGCTTTAGCTGGAAAGCAACCATAAGCAATTTGTAAATGAAATGAGTGTGACGGTGTTCCAGTAAAAATTTGTTTATAAAAACAGTCAGTACACCACATTTGGCCAACTCCTCTTTTAAAATATGAGGGTAGTTCAAAAGGTTTGTGGAAAAATAAAAGAAAATATGAATCTTTTCATGAACTTTTTGAAGACCCCCTGAATGCTTTGTTAGATTCATTTACAGTCATCTCTCAGTAGTCATGGGTGGGTGATTGGTTTTAGGACCTCCCTTGGATACCAAATTCCAGGGATGCTCAAGTCCCTGATATGATATGAAGTGGTATTTACGTATAACCTATGCACATACTCACTATACTTTAAAATCAACTCTAGATTACTTATAAAACCTAATACAATGTGAATGGTATGTAAATAGTTGTACTATATTGCTTAGGGAATAGTGACAAGAAATAAAAGTCTGTACGTGTTCAATACAGACACAATCCCCCTCCCCCCCCAAAAAAAATTTTTGGTTCACAGTTGATTGAATCCACAGATGCAGAATCCACAGATACAGAGGGCCAACTGTATTTTCTAATTTTTTTTCCTCCTTGAAAGATTTCTCTCATATATCTCATGTCATATTATTGCTGCACAATTATGCTGTTTTCCTTAAATTGTCAGAAGTTTTTCAAAGTTTAGCCAGAGGGAAGGAAGTCTTTAATGAGTTGAAATGACATCTTCTAAAAGCCAGTGGAGGCTCTTTTGCTTGTTTTCAGCTGTTCAGTAGCTTGAAAATCAGATTATCTATGCCGCTTTCTTATCTTAGCAGTCAATAGATTATGATGAATTAGGCATAAGCTTAATAAAAATAGTTTATATACATGGTGCTGAAATAAAGCTCACAAAAAGTAATTTTTCTTTTATCCTGCTTTTAGGTCATAAGTAAAGTTTTTTGGCAGGAGACACAACAGGAGCCACCTAAATATCCCTTCACTTCCATTTTGAAAAAGCTCTAGTTCATTGGAGAGGAATTGAATAGGAATCTTGAAACTTAACATATTTAGACTTTGAGCATATTATGTAGCAGCTTTTTTTTTGTTTGATCACCAAAAAAAAAAGTAACTTGAAATTTAAGATATTAAGATGTACCTGAATTTTAGCATAGTGTCTGAAATATTATTACTATTTTAATTAACTACAAGCACAAAGGCCACAGCAATACTGAAATAATTCATTTAATACTCGTGTTCCAGAAACATTGGCTTAGATTCAGCCTAGCTATAAAGGTTTTGGGGTGGTGTATGTGTGTGTTGTCTTTTCTTTTATGATTAATAAGCCCTTACATGTGGTTTTTATATTTTGAATTTTTCTATATATTAGTTTTGAGAGAGAAGGGCCTCAGTTTTAAGTATCATACCGTGATTTTTGTACATGTAGCTAATTATTTACATGGACATTTTTTTTTTGTTCCTTTGCTATAAAATTTAATAGAGTGCGATGCTTAAGAAAGGGAAAACAAAACAAATTTTCTGTCTGCTGTGTCCTAGGTGTTGAACCAGAAACTTTATGTACATTTAATCCTTGACAACCAAACGGTTAAAGAAATTGAGTCAAAACAATTTTTGTTAATGTTGGACCCCAAAGTATCTTGTATTTGCTACATTTACTAACGTTAAGTAGCAAAGGGGTCTTTTTTTTTTTTTCCTTTTTCTTTTTCAAATGAGTAATTAGAGTTTCAGGCATTAGATTTTCTTTTGTCCAAATTGGGTTAAACTGCTCATGAGACTTAAGCAGAAAGTGGTCATGAAATTGTCAAGGACGTTACATCTTGAAAAATTACTGGTCAGATTTTGGTTCATGTACAGGTAATTATTAGCACATCTTTTTCACAGGCTAGTTGTGGGATAGTAGTCATGCTTATTTACATAATGTTGTAGAATTTCTTCATGTTCTCTGCTTTTTTGAGACAAATTCTATATTGTCTTGTCAGTCTTAACATATGCCTAGCATGGTTTACAAAGAAGCTTACTGTTTATACTAAAAAATAATAAGTCTGTTATCTCTACTGACAGGTTTCCCCCAGTATTGTGGTTGAATTGGCATTATTATATTGAGTGGTATTCTTATTCATTTCACTAATATTAATATTTGTCTTAAGAGTGGCCAGTAACTGTTAATGACACTATTTTTTATAATTTATCATAACCACACCACTTTGGAAAATTAATAGTGTTGGTTGCTAGGAAGTATGAGTATAGGTGGAAAATTTATTTTTCTTTCTTTGTTAACATTTAACTTTGAAATAATTGTAACTTAAAGAAATTGCAAAATCATACAGAGTTCCTGTATACCCTTCACCCAATTTCTCCTGGTGTTAACATCTTACATAACAGCATGTGATTATCAAAACCAGGAAATTAACAATGGTATAATACTATTAACTAAACCACAGATTTTATTCAGATTTCCCCTATTTTTTCTTGTTCCAGGAACCCATGTTTCACTTAGTTGACATGTCCCTTTAGTCTCCTCCCATCTGTGACAGTTTTTCAATCTTTCCTTGACACTTCGAAGAATGGTCAGTTGTTTGATAGAGTGGGTTTTGATGTTTTCTCATAATTGTATTGAAGTTATGCATTTCTGGCAATAATACTGCAAAAAATAGGTTGTGTTCTGCTTGGTGCATCATAACAAGGGGTGTTCGTACCATGCTGATATGTCTCATCACTGGTAATGACAATCATGATCACTTGGTTAAGATGGTTATCTGTTGGTAACACTGTAAAGTTACTATTTTTCTCTCTGTAATTAATACATATCTTGGGGAATATAAATTGAGATTATACAGATGTCCTCTTTCTTCAGATTTTTGCCCACTAATTTTAAAGAATCCATCGATCTTGCCTGCAACAATTCCTATGTTGTTTGCCTAATGGAGATTTTTTTTACTGGGGGGAAGGAGGTGTTTTTAATGTTACTAAGTTTTCTAAACAAGCAAGTAAAATTGGAGGGGAGGGGAGTAATTGTTTAAAAAGAATTCAGCTTTGAAAATACCAGTTCAGAGTTGTATCTACTGTATATGCTGAAGTTTCCATAGGAGGCTAACAGTGAAGTAGATGAGCCCTTAGAATTATTTTTAAATATTGTCCACTTGAGAGAAATTTAAATCCTAAAGACAGCTTTTGAATTTTGAATTTAAATTTTATTTTTAGAGCTAACACATGAGTTTCTACAAATACTGGAGAAAACGCCTAGTAGGTTGAAGAAGATTCGAAACTGGAGGGTAAGAGAATTGGCAAGATATAACAATATTAGTTTGTCACTTAAGTAACAATTACATAGTTAACCAATTTGAATTGTTGTGGTTAAATAATTGTCTTTCTGATATTCCTAAATAATTACAGTGTATTGTAAGCTACATATGCTTATAGTTATTCAAATACTGTGTCCAGTGGACTTTGCTAAGTACATTATGCGTTTTCCTTTTAATTCTCACAGTGACTGATAGAAATATTCTCTTTTCACAAATGGGGAAACTAACACCTAGATAAGTAAATTTTGGGGGCACTGGGGGGCGACTGGCTGTTTGGGATTCCAAATCCTTGATCTTGTTATAACACCACACTCTAACCAAATGAGCTAACTGGCCAACACAGTTTTCAACAGCCTTCTCTTGTGCCTCTAAATAAGACATTTATTTACTGGTAGCATAAAACCTTGAATCCCAGATGATTTATTCTTGTATAATTTAGTGTAGAATTTTTATAAGCAAAGAAATTTACATTAAATTCCTTTGCTGTCACTGCTTCTTTTGTGTTTTATTTAAATAGGCTGATCAGGCAGCTGGGAAACCAAAAGTAGATGGACAAGCATCAGAAACACCACTTCTTGGTTCATCTTTGGTCCAGAATTCCATGTTGGTAGACAGTGTCACTGGTGTGCCTACAAATCCAAATTTTCAGAAACCATCTACATCAGCATTCCCTGCACCAGTACCTCTAAATTCAGGAAATATTTCTGTTCAAGACAGCCATACATCTGATAATTTGTCAGTGGTAACAACAGGAATGCCGAGTACCTCATACAGTTTGTCATCACACCAAGAATGGCCTCAACATCAAAAATCGGCAAGGACAGAACAGATGTATTCACAGAAACAGGAGACATCTTTGTCTGGTAGCCAGTACAACATCAGCTTCCAACAGGGACCTTCTATATCATTGCATTCAGGATTACATCACAGACCAGACAAAATTTCTGATCATTCTTCTATTAAGCAAGAATATACTCATAAAGCAGGGAGCAGTAAACACCATGGGCCGATTTCTGCTACTCCTGGAATAATTCCTCAGAAAATGTCTTTAGATAAATATAGAGAAAAACGTAAGTTAGAAACTCTTGATCTCGATGTAAGGGATCATTATATAGCTGCCCAAGTAGAACAACAACACAAACATGTGCAGTCACAGGCAACCAGCAGCAGTTCTGTAACTTCTCCCATTAAAATGAAAATTCCCATCACAAATACTGAAAAACCTGAAAAATACATGGCAGATAAAAAGGAAAAGAGTGGATCACTGAAATTACGGATTCCAATACCACCCACTGATAAAAGCGCCAGTAAAGAAGAACTGAAGATGAAGATAAAAGTTTCATCCTCAGAAAGACACAGCTCTTCTGACGAAGGCAGTGGGAAGAGCAAGCATTCAAGCCCTCATATTAGCAGAGATCATAAGGAGAAGCACAAGGAGCATCCTTCAAACCGTCACCATACCAGCAGTCACAAGCATTCCCATTCGCATAGCAGCAGCAGCAGTAGTGGTGGCAGTAAACATAGTGCTGATGGAATACCATCCACTGTTTTGAGGAGTCCTGTTGGCCTGAGCAGTGATGGCATTTCCTCTAGTTCCAGCTCTTCAAGGAAGAAGCTGCATATCAATGATGCATCTCACAACCATCACTCCAAAATGAGCAAAAGTTCCAAAAGTTCAGGTAGTTCATCTAGTTCTTCCTCCTCTGTTAAGCAGTATATGTCCTCTCACAACTCTGTTTTTAACCATCCCTTACCCCCTCCTCCCCCTGTCACATACCAGGTGGGCTACGGACATCTCAGCACCCTCGTGAAACTGGACAAGAAGCCAGTGGAGAGCAACGGTCCTGATGCCAATCACGAGTACAGTACAAACAGCCAGCATATGGACTACAAAGACACATTCGACATGCTGGACTCGCTGTTAAGTGCCCAAGGAATGAACATGTAATCATTTGTTTAGGTCAATTTTTCCTTTACTTTTTTAATTTAAAAATTGTTAGAATGGAAAACTTCCTCCTAATCTAGTAGTGGTAACACCTGCTGTTGCTGCCACTGCTTCAGTATTTGTAAGTGCTGCTTTATTCTTCATTCTGAAAAGAAGAGATTATAGTAAACAAATCTTTATCTCCACGTATGATAGTGTTATAAATACTGTAAAAGCATGGAAGGTACAAAACTCAGTACTTCTACAATTGCAGCTAAGAACATTAGGATAAATGGCTGGCTGCTTCTAGGAATATAAGATGCCTCAAGCATTTATTATTTATAATTTGAATATTGTAGCTGTTTTTTGTTGTTGCTTGGCTTTTGAACGAGTGTAAATTGTTTTCTTTTGTGTATTTATACTTGTATGTATGATTTGCATGTTTCAATGATAAAGGGATAAAACAGTGTACTGACAACTGTTTACAAGAAAGTGGAGAAAAAATGTACATACATTTTTGTATGTTTAAATATTACCATAAATACTCAGGATTGGAGCTGCTTGTAAGTATAACAATATACAGAATAACTTTATTTTATCTTGTCAAGTCCATCACTAATCTAAAACAAAGGTGGCACTTTTTCATGTTAACCTTAAACTCTAGGCCTTACTGGAAGCCACTGAAGGGGGACACTTCACTACCAGATGGGTATGCAGTGCCAGAGATGGTCATTTACACTATGAGGCGCTGAACTTTGCCTTCAGAAGTTCTGACCAGATTGGCTGCTGGAAAAGCCCCTAATTTTCTGAAGGCTTGAAGAGGAAAAAATAAAGTTTACATACTCTTGATGTGAAGTGCATTTAAATGTTTGTTGGCTCGTTGCAGTACTATAAAACATCTGTTAATAATGGTTATGTGGATTACTGTGATTTGAAAACTAAATTCACAAAAACTTACATAGTGAAGAATTAGTAAGTTTTTTTCCTTAAAGAACTGTAACACTACATCTTTTAACAGTAAACAGGGATCACTTTTCCTTTAGCATTCAGAATGACACCATATTCTCAAATATACTACTCCCTCGAAGTGTGTTTGTGTGTGATGCCATATTTCTTTTTCAGGTAAATGCAGTCTTCCTTATAAAAATGAAATTAAACCTATGCTTTCTCAATTCTTTTATATTCTAACAATAAATAAAAAGAAAATATTACTGTGCATTGTACCTGTATTCATAACTTATGGTTGTTATCAGGAAGCTCTATAAGAAAAAAAGTTCAGCCTCCAGGCAAAACACAAATGGAGGTTTTTACATCTGTTTGCACATCTCAGTATATTCCCATTGAGGTAAAGTTTGCACAGTCATCTGACTTCTGATCAAACTATAGACTTTAACTTGTTTAAATTTTGTCTTAAACACCGGTAATATGGCTCTTGTTTATCAGCTAATCTTGAATTTATTCTGTGGTAAATTTTCAAGCTGTCGATTATCTTTGAGATGGGTTGGATTCAACTTCTGTTGAACTGAAAACTCTCTTAATGATTCCTCTGTGTATATGAATTATTTTTGTTACAAAGCCACTGATATGTGCACAATTGTAATTTTACTCAAGTATGTTGCGGTTGTAAATATTAAGAGTTTAATCTCATTCTCTACTTTTATTTAGCAATTACCTAATTTGCCAGTAGCTTTATAATTTTTTAAGATAATTGTTCGTTATTTTGTCAATGTTATTTGAACTTGGGATACTAGGATCCTCTATCTAGGGACTTTGCCTAGCTAGCATGTCCTAACATTTGTTCCTGTCTTGCATAACTTTTAGTAATCTTTGTCAATATATGTAACTTTGTTGCTCTGTATGGCATAATATTGTATCCATAAACATGGTAATTTTGATACAGTTATACTTTTACAGTGGTACATAATCCCAGGACTAGCATAGAATTAAGATGAGTGCAAGATAAGGGAGGGGAAGGGTTTTGTTCTTGGTAATTTAGATGTGAAACCTCTACAGAGCTATCATGTGAAACGATATAGGGTGGTTGTGCTACTGTATAATTGGGGATGATAATACCAGGAATTTTAATAAGATTTTGTAAAGAATATCCAGAAAAGTAGTGAATTTATTTTCAGTATGACATAGAAAACAATGTGAATATTTAAGGTCTGTGACTATAGTTAAACTTCACTAAGAATTTGCAGAATTGTTTTGAGATGTGGGAATAAAGGTAATTTTTGTTGAATCTTTATTGGTGCTAATGATGGACAGTTAAAAAGATAGCTAGTGTATATTATTATGGGTCAGTACTTATTAGTACTTCCAAAATTGAATTTGAAATGCTATGTATTCACTTTTCACTCTGTAAATGTAATTCTTTACAGTGACTTTATTTATTAAAGGGCAGCCAGTTGTAATTTTTACAGGATTGTGTCACCTATTCAAACTTGTTAACCTCTGAACAGGAGATTAAGCTTCTAAAACCACAATGGGGATAGATATGAAATCCTTTAAGTGTTATTTCCATTAAACAAAACCCTTATAATTCATATTATCATGAATTTGCTTTTGCCATCTCATTTGCATAAAATAGTTCATCTGCCTGGTCCCATTAGGCTCTACCAAAGAAAAAGACTCCGATGAATGGACGTAATTACTGTGAGTCTTCTAAGTAGCCATAAATAAACCAAAATAGTATCATCAAATTTAGGTATAAAATTCCACATGTGCAAAGTACTGTTAAGGTGATACATTTTTGATGAGATTTTTAAAAATTTGAAATATTAAAAAGCATTATCTTTAAACATCCTATGAAAGAGTGATTCATTTTTAAATTGTTTTTTCCCTAGATCATAGATTTGTTATCTTTATGCAGAAGCACATCGCAAAGTAAGGCTTTTCTTCTACCTCTTTAACTAGACTTGCAGTGTTGAGCTGTGCCCCCTAAATAATTGCCTTAGCTGTGTTAAAATACAATATTTTCAGAACCAAAGCAAGGGGATGTTTATTTACAAAAACATTCTCAGATGCCTACTTTACAAAACTGAACGTACTATCCTTTAGTGGTAAGACCTTGCAAAGTTACTAGTTAACAGGTATTTAAATGCTGAAAAGTTACGTCATCAGCCCTAGGTTTGTCTTTGAAAGCAGTTACATGTGCATCGACCTTCCTCATATGTACATATGCCTTCTAATTAAAGTTCTTATGTTCAGAGTCGATTAAAGAAAATTTCTACCAGAATGTATGGTTTCTTGAGGAATGCATGAGGAGCTGCTTATATTACTTTGTACAGACAGGTTGTAATTATGTAGGATAACTTTTTTGGCCAATCTTTGAACTAAAGGAATGGCTGGTTGAGGTCTACTTCAGAAACCAATTTAAAGTGTTTTTGTTAGTTACCAAAGACCTTGCCTTAAAAGGTTTCAAGCACATTTTCTTTTATATCCGAGAATTTAAATTGCTGGCTTTTATTCCTTAACCAACCTTAGAAATAAACCACTGCTTAAATATGCATGGATGTTACACTATTAAGAACACTTGGTTGATATTTCACAGTTTTGCATTTACTATAGAAATGAGGATTTTTTTTTTTTACACATGGTAACATCTATAAAGGAAGGCAGTTCTGTTCTTAAGGTATCTCACCATTCTCAATTTTATCTAAATGAGAAGCAATGTTTCTCACCTCCTGTGCTTAAATTGCTAGATGATGTGTAGCATGTCTTTGCTGAGAAAAATTTGAAAGCTCTTATTTTGAAGAATCCTTGATTCAGTATTTTCTCGATTTGGCAATCTCTCCCTCAGGAAGCTGGGAGGCAATAGGATTCACTAACTGTACGTGTACCCAGATGAATGATCAACAACTGCCACACTCGGGGAAACCTGAATTAACTGAGTCACAGGATGGTAGATGCTAATCTCATGTGCCTATTTCTTGAAGATAGGCTGATTTAGACAAGGATTTTTGGCATCGGGAAAGCACGTTCTGGCCCTGTCCTAGGTTACCAAGTTGTGATAACTACTGTGTGTTAATTTAAGAATTCACAGCTATGTTGATACCTGAAATCAATGGGCAATTTTATCTGTAAGATGATATATCTAAGCTAAATAATCAGAAGTTTACCCGAAACATCTGTCTTTACAATAAAGATGATCTTGCCAGTGGGAGTGAAATGCTCTTAAGTGCTTTAGCTCTGATACTATGCATTCATTTTTTACTTCACAGTGTCGGTTTGGGCACAGTCAGCTTTTGCCTCTATGACTTGCCTTTTTCTGTTTAATAATTCACCATTACCTATTCTGCCTGACAGATTCTTTAGGTAGGTGGTTAAGATATATTGAAGGTTGCATGGCTAGGAGTAATTCTGTTCTCATAGAGGTGACTTAACCCGTTCACTGTGATCCATTAATCTCAAAACTAAATTCTGAGAACTAATTTCCTTTATTTCCAAGTTTTGGGAGGAGGCCTCACTTAAAGCCCCAAATATTGACAATTCTGTTCAGTAGTTTGTTTAATTTGATTTGTCTATTTAAGTAAATAATGAGTACATTCTTATTTTTAAGAGGTGTTTGTTTTTCAAGCAGCTTAACTTGGTTAGAAAAACTTCACGTGTACTCATTTGTTGTAAACAGTGATTGGGGTTTCACTTTCTGGATGTACTCAAGACTCCCAAGGATGATTGAATAGGATGCTTGCTGATAGACAGTCTAAAACAGGAATATGTGTATATGGCATGAATTAGTCATTGAATATCAGCTTCAGTATCTATACAAAGAATTTTTAATAAAATTTGTTTAACAACATAATCCGAGGCTCTAACATCTCTTGTTAAGTTAATGTGAATCAGAAATAACTTTCAGTCCCTGGGAAATATGGGGAATAAGGTTTCTAATATAATTGACTCTATCCAAGTAACTTTATATATCAAGGAGTGTAGGCTCTGGAATCAGATGGTCCATGTTCCAGTCACAGCCCCACCACTTAATGGTGTAATGACCTTGGGTAAATTATTTGACTTCATGCCTTGATTATCTTCCCTACAAAGTGTCAGTAATAGTATCTATTATTATGGTTTGGAGGTTTAAGGCTTGGGTGGTCAAGGAAGGCTAGCTAGAATAGAGGGCATTAAAGAGAATCCTAATAGAGAGGTAGGTGTTGGATGGAATGATGATGGCCAATCCAGGCGCATCAAACTTGAGTGCATTAAACTACTGCCTGTGTCCAGAATTCTCTTTTAAATCGTTCATTCTAATTCTCATTTTGGAATTTTTTTGTTGAGTCTCTTGCATCGCTCCCATAAAAGACAAAAGGTAATTGCAATTAGCTGGAAGGGGAATTATCCATCAAAAAATAATCATAAGATGCTTTTTAATATTGCTACTCTTTCCAGCGTACTTCCTCCCTTCACCAATTTTTCTGCACATTCACTTGAAAGAAAATGAAAGCTAATTGCAAAAGCTTTAGTAAAATAGAATTGGGATAGGAAGGTTACTTACTTTGAAGTGCATTTTAAGCCTAAATTTAAAATAAATGTTTTAAATCAGATTAAGAGGTTTGTCTTACTGGTGTTACCACCAGTAAGAGCTTGTTCTATTAGCATATAATAAATTCGATGGGTTTTACTTAAGAACTTTACAAAGTCTTCTGTAATTCTACTTAACCAAATTCACTCAGATCCATTCTTTATTCTCTCTTTTTTCCCGTTTTCAACATAATAAAACAAATTATATGCTTTTGTTTTAGCTCTAGTATGTGACTAACCTGTTCTCTTCCCCCAACATGACTTCCCAAAACAATGTAGAGCCTCACTGATGAGGGGTTTTATCATATAGCCATGAGATTAAGACAAAAGGTTTATTTAGGCCTTTTAATGTCCAGGCATACACACCCAGGGTCAGTTTTCTTTAGTCTTTCAAGTCAACTTGTAGGAGTGGCTGCTTTACAGGTGAATTTAGCCATGGTTTTTTGCAATTTTGAGATATTCTGGCAATAGGTAAAAGTATTACAGCCTTTCTTCAGGACTTTTTGCTGTTTAAACTTTTCACAGTGTATTGGCATACAGAAAAACTTTTACTTGTTGATCACCAGAGCAGCAAGTATGAAAAATAAAGATCCTGGTAGGTGATGGAGGCTTTTGGCTTCTCATTGAGCAGATCAAGTGGGTTATTACTTTAGAGCTACTCATTATACACTACAGAAGGTCCAGGACTACTGTAGTGGTCTTGTAGGAGAGAGTAGATAAAACCCGTACATTGAATATCAACACTCCAGAGCTCGCTCTTTCGAAACACTGTGGTAACTGTCCGTATTTAGTCACTGCCAGATATCCACAGTGTAAAGGCTAAAGTAGGTTAAAGTTGAGGAAATGCTGTAGAACTACTCTTAGACCTTTACTTGGGGGTTAAAATTTCTTTGGTTGGACTTGGTCCTGGAGCATACAGAAAGTACATAAGAAAATGAGCTTTTTAATGTGTTTGAAAAAACTGGGCAGTTGTGATTGGTGAAAAGGGGTGATGCTCATGGAAGGGAAGGCAATATTACCACTAAGTGAAAGACGAAAAGCTTTTCAGACTATTAAGGTAACCAAAATCATGACCACACTGGTAAACTTATCAGCGTCTCAGTGGTTATTTTGTTTGAGTAAAACTTTAGGATGTAACTGGTATTTATAAGCTATGAATCTGTGGGAGGCAGCAGGGAAAGGGGCTTAAAAGTAGAACACATCTGGGTGGGAATCCCACCTCCCACATACCAGTTGGATAGCCTTTAGAAGTTAGCTCTGAATTCTATTCTTCATTAATAAATTGAGAATAATACGAAGGCACTTCTAAAAATAGAATTAAAAGATAATACAAATCTTTCTGTGAAGTTTTTGAAATACCTTCATACTGGCCATCCCAAATTGTAGCTAGAATTAAATGATGTGCCTTTTTTTTTTTTTATTAAGAGCTTAATGACTGCTAGCACTCCCACTCCCCAGCTTTCTGCACTCCCAACCTCTTGCTCCAAAAAGAAAATGCAATGAGGGTACACATCTAGGCAATCATGATGAATGTAATTCCAAACAATGTATGACAAAAGCAACAGAAAGCTCTTGGGACCAAGGTTTGCCTTTTGAAAAGTTAAGTGTTTTTGAAGGTTCTGCTTAATATCCCAAAAATGTGTTCAGTGTTCTTTTATATGAATAGAAGTGGGGTAGATTTGTTAACACTAACTTCATGTATCCATTACTGTGATCTGTATGCAGAGTATAATTATGTCTTACTGCCCTTTCCTCATAGTGTTTAACAGCCTTGAATGTAAATATTTAATTGCTCCAAAATCCAATATACTTGTAACATTCAGATTTTAGAGAATAATGAAGATACTTCCAAAGTGGGTGTGGGGGGTGGAGTTTAAACCCTTCCTTTACAAAATTATATTGTTTTGGATCTTGTCCCTATGCAAGTAAAATAAGAGACATTCATCCCTTAAATTCTTATCAAATATGAGGAAAGAACTGTACAAATTTGAGAGAAAAAACATATCCACAGAGACCCATCTAATGTTTTGTTTGGGGTTTTTTGGCATCAGGTCAGGACAGGAATCAAACCCTGGACCTTGTTGTTAGCACCAAAATTTCTTCTAACCAACTGGGCTAACCGGCAGCTCATCTAGCTTTTCTTGTTGGCCAAAGTAAAACCTGTCTTTACCTCACCTGGACTGCATTTCACATTTATTTCTCAAAAACTTCTAAAGAAGCAATTTGATGTTGTTGTTTTTTAAAGATGACCGGGGCCGGCCCGGTGGCGCAATGGATAGTGCACCGCTTGGGAAGCGCAGCGGCGCTCCCGTCCGAGGGTTCGGATCCCACATACAGGCCGGCTCCCGCTCACTGGCTGGGCGAGGTGCGGGAGCAACGCCGAGGCTTGCAATCCCGTTGCCGGTCCCCGGTCCGGTACGGGGGCAACACTGAGGGTTGCGATCCGTTGCCGGACACGGAAAAAAGACAAAAGACAAAAAAAAAAAAAAAAAAAAGATGACCGGTAAGGGAATCTTAACCCTTGACTTGGTGTTGTCAGCACGATGCTCACCCACTGAGCTAACCAGCCATCCCTATATTGGATCCGAACCTGTGGCCTTGGTGTTATCAGCACCACACTCTCCCGAGTGAGCCACGGCCCAGCCCAGCAATTTGATTTTGACAAAGCCTGATACTTGTGTTCAAATACACCTAAGGTTAATTTGTAGTTGTGTCATCTTGAATGATGTCAGCAAATAAAAATAATCTGGATATAGCTTAAACAATAGGTGTCTATGAAATCTAGTGAATGGGTGAAGTCAACCAATAGAAACCTTATCAAAAATGCTTAATCCACCAACTCAAAACAAAAGGCTTGTAATGTAACAACTCTCATCCATCCTCACTTCTGTGAGGTTTACTAGTGTTCTGGAAATGAATGTGTTTGAAGAGTGACCTCAGTGAAAATGACCAGGTGAAGTGAGCAAATTGAAGAGGATTATAAACTGACCCATTACTCACCTTATCAGGTCTAGCTTTTGTCCTACCAGCTGGCTTAGGTTTAGCTAGTCCTAGATGTGGTAATGACCTCATTCACTCTGCAAATAGGTGAAGACCTCAAATCATACTAAAGTACAAGTAAATTACAGGAAAAGTAGCCTGAAGTTTATGGTGCCAACTTTGAATAGCCCAACTTCTTGGAGACTTCTCAGGAGTTTGGGACCCTCTGATAATGAAATGCCAAGGTCCTTAGCTTCTCCCATTATACCTTGAGGCTCCTAGAATCTTTAAAGTTAAGATTACTGCCAAAGTAAACAGCACCTCTTTTAAGTTATATTCTCAACTTCCTTTAATCGTCTTTGCAAGAATTAAGCATCTTTACTCACCAATCAAGAAAATACAAGTTGTTTTTACAATTTATTTTAAACTAATGACATTAAAGTTGACAGGCCAAAAATAAAATACATAAAGCAATAGAGATTGTAGCTCCTGTACAATCAAAACTGTAAACACTGGAATAGGTTTCTTTGTTGTTATTTAAAATGTTTTTCTCATACACAAGAGTAATCATGCCTGTAGCTTAAGGAAGCTTATTTGAAACTAAACTTTCAGTTAGTGATACTGCAGGATCTGGTTAAATTGGATTAGATTGAATTTATGATAGGAAAACAAAGGTCCCTTAACCTCATTCCCCACAGTTAAGCAATAATGGAGCATCTACATTAGAACTGAGAAGAAAGTCTTGATGTATGTTCAGTGACTTCTCTTCAAGAAGGGGTGTTTCAGGAGCTGAAGAGCAGAAGGTCGCTCATGCTGGTCCCTAAGAAGGGAAAAACATGTTAGAAGCAGCACCCAGTAATGTGACTGCCAACGAGATCTGCTTGACTCAAATGTATACTTCAAAGATGAAGTACAACTTCTGACAATCAGACAGACTTGGGTTGCATCCAGTCTCCAGTTTTTTTGTTTGTTTGTTTTTTTGTCCTTTTTTTGTGACCGGTAAGGGGATCGCAACCCTTGGTGTGGTGTCGCCCGCACCGCGCTCAGCCAGTGAGCGCACCGGCCATCCCTATATAGGATCCGAACCCGCGGCGGGAGCGCCGCTGCGCTTCCAGCGCTGCACTCTCCCGAGTGCGCCACGGGGCTGGCCCCAGTCTCCAGTTTTTAACCGTGTGATCTCAGCAAGTGACTTGAACTCTCCTTGTCAGTAAAATGCAGATAATAAAAATACTTAACTCATTGGGAGAATTAAATAATATATGAGGGTACTTCAAAAAGTCCATGGAAAGACTTGTATTATCTTTCTATTCTATTTTTCCACAAACTTTTTGAAGTACCCTTATATACACAGCTTTTAAATAGTATCATTGTAGTTCAAAAAATGATAGCTATTGTGACTAAAATCTAGGCACTACTTTTCTGTGGTACTTTGATTCAAATTGTTTGGGGTATAATTTACACACAGTAAAATTCACACTTCTAGGTGTACAGCTTATTGCACTTTCAATTAACATTAAATTTACTTTTAAAATTTAGAGGCATTAGAATTCATAAAGACTTTAAAAAGTAGACATTTAAATGTGCTTTGGTGATAAAAATTGAAATTCCATTTTGGGCACTTTTAGGTGAGCACAAAGTACAGAGAGACAGTTGCTCAGTGCTACTGTGGTTTAGGTTTTTTCTTCAAAAAATTAAGAAGTTTTTGGAAATGCATCAATGAGTCAGTCAATGAACCAGTTAACTAATGAAACAATCAATAGTTACCTGCAATGACCTGTTCCAAAGACATTCTTTTGTTTAAATTGTCTGTCTTTTGACAATTTTGAGAGCAAAGTTACTACCAGGTCATTTCTCAGGTGAAAATAAAATATTTTTTAAGGTATTTTATTTTTATACATCATTCCAAAATAAAAAGCTCTCACTGTCTGGAGGACCTTTCTCCTACGTTCAAATTACACAGAAATCGCTCCCTTCAATAACCTTTCCTTGACCTGGCTACCATTTCTAGCTGCTGTCCTGTTTCTTTTATTCCTGCCAAATGTCTCTAACATGGCCAACCCTGATGATTTTTTTTTCAACATTTGTTATCTCTTAAATCCTTAACCATTTGGCCCACTCCTCTATAGAAATTACCGTCTTGAAATTAATCCAATTAAATGAACTCATCCTCCTTATTATCATCTCTGTAGCATTTTTTTGAAAATATTCACTACTCTCTCCTACCTACAACTATCTCTGCTTAACTTCATCCTCGTTTGACGAATGCTCCTTGACTAGGAATGTTGGAGCTAGGGGCCACCCTTTCCATACTGCAAGGGGCCATGTGAGTGAGCCTGAGGCTCCCCAATCCTTCCATTATGGGAAACTCTGTTCTCTTTGTTCTTCTCCCACCGTGGGGCAACTCCTCTCCCTCCTCTCCTTCCTCCCTTCCTTTCTCCAATTACATGCTAGACTTGATGCTATGTGAGAATTTTCCCTTGTGAGAATTTTCAAGAACATTTTTCTGGGAGGGGGGAGCGGGAAGGAGGAAAAGTAGCAATTGGTAAAGGAACACAAAAATCAACTATATTGTACATTGATAAATTAAAAGAAAAAAAAACATTTTTGTCTGCCCCCTAAGTTTTTTCATGACTATAGTTATCTATCTTATAATGATTTTTAAATATGCACCTCCATATTAATTGCTTTCCTGAGGCCCAATCCCGTAACTTCAAGTGTCAACTTCCTCTACTGTTCTTCTCTCACACCTTTATTTTTCTCATAATCCAGACTCAAAACCATGAAATCCTATCATTCTTCTCCATTACCAGTCCTGATTCACCTTCCTCTTTATGATCCCATGGCTTCTACCACTATACAAGTCCAAGCTCTGGATTCCTGCATGGCCTCCTCGTCTCCAGCAACATCCATTCTAGGCCCTTTAGCACACTGCCATTTGACTGGCCTTGCCAAAGACCTTTTTCTTCATGGCATTCTCTACCCTAAATCCTTCGCAGCCCTCTGCTCCTCACTGTGTATTGCATCCTAGCTAAACTCTTTGGTCTGACTTTCCAGAACTTTCAGCCTGCCCATAGCCTGCCTCATCCACGCTTATTTCTCACTGCTTCCCACTATTCAGGCCTTGCTCCTGGTTCATCTGATCACCTCTATCTCTGAATCTTTATGAGTGCCTCACCCTTTAATTTCTGGCTATCCACACCTCCAAGGATATTGTTATGGACATCAGGTGAAATGCTGGAGTCCTTAGGGTCTTTGCCATAGAATTTCAGGAGGTGATTATATGTTTGTATATGACACTAATTAGGTAAGGTATGTTGGTAAGTCTCCCGAATGATTATTGACTATTGCTTCCTAATTGTGTGCCCATGCTCTGATAAGCAATTTACATACACCATTTCACTTAACCTTCACAACAACCCTCTTAATTTATTATTAGTGGTGTGAGTTGTGTCTTGCTTAGTTTATGAAGCAAGGGCTCAAAAGGAGAGCCACAAAAAAATATTCTACCCTTTCTCTATAAAGCTATTTGGGAGGATGTGTGTGTTTAATAACAACTTGAAAGAAAATGAGAATAACAAGTGGTTTCTAGCTATGAGTCAGTAATAGGTAATTGTTAAATTCGGAACAAAGCAACTACAGCAGTTTTAAGAGCTAAAACCAGTCTCCAAAACAAGTATTGGTCCACATAATATGCCCAACATCTTTATGTCCCTTTTGTGGGTTTGTTTTTGGAAGGGGAAGCAGCTCTGTGCCTAAGGCTCTGTCCACAAAATCCGTGGTGGGATACCTGAGGTTTGATGCCCAGAATTGCACCCCTGGATTAAGTGATCCTGTCCTGGCCCCTGGATTTTCCTAAAATCAGCCAGGACAAACTCATGCATATGTGCTGGGCAAGGAGCCAAAAAGACTGAAAGAAGCACATTCATTGGCAGACAGATCAGAAAGGCAAAATAAACCCCCTGAGTGTTGGGGATTGCCCTATGTGCTTGCTAAAAGCTGGAGCACCAGAGTTTTTCATCTAGGGATAAGAAAACACCCTTCTTTGAAAGAGAGGAAATTGAGTTTTGAGTCTCAGACTTTACATGTCCTGCAACTAAATGTCGAGCCTCACTTGGTGGATAAGTTTAGGCTGCTCTGCATCACCCTAGAGGTGGGCATGGACTCCAGCCTCCCCACCCCTCTTTACCCCACCACCACCACACATGCACCCACATATACACACTTTAACCGGAGCCATCTCTTGCTTTTATGTTTTATTCTTTGAATTAAGAATTCATATGACCAGAGGGTGCCTCGCTAAAAGTTTGAAAACCACACCACTAGTTAATCTCTATGGTCCTTTACGATTCTAACATTTCACTCAGAATTTCATTCCATAGATATGAGAGAGAATAAGGGAGGGGAAAACAGGTAGTTTTCTAGGGCTTTTCTGCTTCCCAAGTACACCCCCACTCAATGCTTGAAATGCTCCAGTTAGAGGTTTTTTTCCTTTGGCTCAAAATGTTTCCCCTCACTTTAAATGCAAGATGTTATTTTACCATAGCCAGTCCCCAGAAAGATGTCCTATTGGTAAATAAGTAGATCTTTAGCAAATTTTGCAAACCCATTGTTTTGGGGAAGTACTGTCAGGACCTGATAAGACATTTAATTGAGGCACTTCCTACCCGAAGCATTGCCTCTCCAGCCTGATATGACAGTCGCCCAATAGGACTGATCATGATTACTTTCAGCACAAAATCACTTCCAACTTGATTTTATAACTAAAACAGAGATTTTAATGGGCCAGTAACTGCAGGGGACATGTCAGCTGTTTGGAATCTCGGTATTTGTCCTCCTCCTCCTACTTTCAGTTTCTTACCTGGTTAGGCACATGCACACGAAGTCTGCTGCGTTTTCTGAGAAGTGGTCTGGTAAAGGAGGCATCAACCCTCGGTGTGCTCCGATGTAAAACATGGCTGCCATCCTGTCCATGGAAGCCAGTGGAGGCTTCCCTGTGGCCATTTCAAATACAGTGCAGCCAATGCTCCAGATATCCGATTTCCTTCCATAGCCAGACTCGTTGATGACTTCTGGGGCCATCCAATATGGAGTCCCATGCATGGACTTAAGCATGTCACTGTGGGTGCCATTTAGGCCTGCCCAGGCCAGACGTTTGGCACAGCCAAAGTCAATCAGCTTTATTATTCCAGTTGGCATGAGCATAACATTATTTCCTTTGATATCTCGATGCACCACACAGTTCTCATGGAGATAAGCAACACCTTGCAGAATTTGTTTTGTATATTTACAGAACACCATCTCAGGCAATGGCCCAAAACGGTTTATAATACTAGAGATTGAGCCACCAGGAACAAACTCCATAAAAATGCTTACAATGTCTTCTTCCAAGCATGTCCCCAAATAGGCCACAATGTTGACATGTTTCAGTGCTTTGAGCAAATCTACTTCTTCCTGAAGTTTCCGGTATTCTTTTTCATTAGCTAATTTATCAGAGGTATCCAACGCCACCTGTTTTACAGCTATTAGCTGTCCTTGGCTAGTGAGACCACAGTATACCTAGAAGCAAACCAATACCTTATTATTAAATATAAATGACATAACTTGTTTACAAAATACTTCATATGACATTTGACTTTCCCTTCTCCTAAATCCTTTTCTTTCATTAAGTTGATACCTCCCCACCTAAATGCAAAGTATTTAAGCAAATTCAATGTTTCGGTGGAACCAAGATAGGGATGAGCAGCATGGAGAATGGATATCATATTGACTTGGAGTCAAGTGGCTTGGGTTGGTTAGAATCCTGGCTTCATCACCTTCCCTTAGCTGTATAACTTTGGGTAACCTTTTCGACTTCAGTTCTTCTCATCTGTAGATTTTTTTTTTTTTCCTTTTTTTTGTCTTTTTTTTCGTGTCCGGCAACGGATCTCAACCCTCAGTGTCGCGCCCGTACCGGACCGGGACCGGCAACGGGATCGCACCCCTCGGTTTTGCGCCTGCACCTCGCTCAGCCAGTGAGCGGGAACCGGTCTGTATGTGGCCTCCGAACCCTCGGCAGGAGCACCACCGCACTCCCAAGCGGCGCACTGTAGCAGGGCGCCCCCCGGGCGGCCCCCATCTGTAGATTTTTTTTTTTTTCCTTTTTTTTGTCTTTTTTTCGTGTCCGGCAACGGATCTCAACCCTCAGTGTCGCGCCCGTACCGGACCGGGACCGGCAACGGGATCGCACCCCTCGGTTTTGCGCCTGCACCTCGCTCAGCCAGTGAGCGGGAACCGGTCTGTATGTGGCCTCCGAACCCTCGGCAGGAGCACCACCGCACTCCCAAGCGGCGCACTGTAGCAGGGCGCCCCCCGGGCGGCCCCCATCTGTAGATTTTTTTTTTTTTCCTTTTTTTTGTCTTTTTTTCGTGTCCGGCAACGGATCTCAACCCTCAGTGTCGCGCCCGTACCGGACCGGGACCGGCAACGGGATCGCACCCCTCGGTTTTGCGCCTGCACCTCGCTCAGCCAGTGAGCGGGAACCGGTCTGTATGTGGGATCCGAACCCTCGGCAGGAGCACCACCGCACTCCCAAGCGGCGCACTGTAGCAGTGCGCCACCGGGCCGGCCCTCATCTGTAGATTTTCATAGATTTCTATGATGACTACATGAGATGATGCTTTGGGGAAACTCCTCACCGGGTAAATGAGATAGGGCTAGTTCAGCTCTAAAGCTCTCTGGAGAGAAGAGACAGGTCTTGGCACTCACCCTCATGATGTGATCTCAGTGGTTTCATGTCTTCCCACTTTCTCACTGATTGCTGAAATGTCTCCAACTAGAGATGGCATAGGACATGTTTGTGGGCCAGTCTTTACCCCTCTACGTAACTACTATCTAAAGTGCTAGGAGTTTAGATGGTCTTTTATGCAAATCACAAAATGTAAGGAACATCTTTTGTTTTTGCCATCCAGCAATGATTCTCCCAACTTCCAGTAACATATTGAGTTGTTGAAGGAACAGATTTCTTTCCCATTGGATTTGAACCTGATAGAATGGGAGGCTAGAAATGCAGTGGCCATTGTACCACCACATGAATCCTGAGAACAATAACCAGACAGAGAAACCAGATCCTGATGACACTGACCCCTGAAACTACTTGTGCCCAGAGCCAGACCTACTCCAGACTTTTCAGTTACATAAAGCAATACACATCTGTTCCTTCAAGCCAGTTTGGGTTGGGTTTTCTGTTACTTTCAACTGAAAGAGTTCTAAGTAAAAGGGTGCAGGAGACTGGTGGGGAGGATGGTTAGGGGAGAGGGAAGGATCAAGGAGGGGTGGAGAGTTCTGATGTCAAGTTTCCAGTTTAACTTACTGTGCCGTAGGCTCCCTTCCCAAGGATCTCACCCTTGGTCCACAGGATAGGTTCTTCATATTTTAAACTATTTTCAGACAATGTCTTCTTTCCATTTGAGTTAAGAAATTTCTCCTCCCTATCATGTATCCTGAATCCATTACTACACCTCTGGAGGAATGAGAGAAAAAGAAAGGTCACCATTAAACTCTGAGCGGTTAGGACAGAGGGTGGAGGTTAGAGTCGAGTCTCCCTTTCAATCACACCTGCGCATAGTCATTCTTCTCGTTCACGGGTAACTTCTGGAGACACAGTTTTCCCAGAAATGACCAAGCAGTATATCTCAGTTGTGTTCTTCAGCCTTGTTAATTGTACACATTTCTAAGTCACATTTTGGTTTGTATATTTTATAGGAGGAAGTCTTAGGCCTGTTCACTCACCACTCACAGAACTGAGGCCACCAGAGGTGGGGGAGGGGGCAGTTAGTGACAAATTGGTAAAGGGCCACAAAAAATGATTACATTGTGTAGTGTTGAATATACTAATTATTCTGATTTGAGCATCACATATTGCACACAGGTATTGATAGTCAACGTTGTACCCCACAGTTATGTACAATCATGTTTAAATAAATAAATATAAATAAATAAGGCAGCTCTGAACCAGAAAAAATTTTAAAAATAAAATGAGATAAAAAGTCATGGAAAGGTTCAATTTATCTTTTCATTCTATTTTTCTGTAAACTTTTTGAAATACCCTTGTACATATGCAAACACATACACGTTTACACACAAACACATCACAAACACACATACAAATTGTCTCTCCTCACTCTCTCTCTCTCTCACACACACACACACACACACACACATACAGAACCATAACAAAGAATTTAGGTGGTCAAGACCAGCCACAATAGACTGAAGATCCACAGTAGTGAAGAACCTTGCTACTCAAAGGAGGATGTGCAGACCAGCTGCATCAGCATCACTAGGGAGCTTGTTCGACGTGCAGATTCTTAGGCCCCAGATATGCTGGATCAATGCCTATATTTTAACAGGATCCCCAAGAAATTCACATTCATAGTATACTTTTAGAGGCACTGCCCTTGAAGTCAGAAAACAAGTTTCTCTTTGGAGAACTTAGATCACGTTTTCCAATTGGTTGATCAGGACCAAAAATGCTTCATTTTGATCTCCTCTATTATTAATCTTAAAAATAAATAATGATGGTGATGGGCAAGGTGAAGGCCATTTAGGAACAAGAGATCCTGCAGGGTCGCCTTTCTCATGAACATTTAGGTGTCTCCGAAGAGCTGTTTGGGTCCTTCCTACACAGCCTCTCACGTTTCTATCTACACTGAAATTTTGGATACTGCTCAGAAAAGAAAAGGTCACAGCAGGTCAAAAAAAAATTTTTTTTTAAAGATGACTGGTAAGCGGATCTTAACCCTTGACTTGGTGTTGTCAGCACCATGTTCTCCAAATGAGCTAACCGGCCATCCCTATATAGGGACCTGAACCCGTGGCCTTGGTGTTATCAGCACCACACTCTCCCAAGTGAGCCACGGGCTGGCCCTGAAGGTCAATTTTTGACTCCATGATTGCACAGTGGTTTTAGGCACTTATTATGTTTACAGGTTTGTCAGCTGTTCGATTTGAAATGGCACAGTGGTAGGCCCGTCTCACGCACACAGGCAAGCACACATATATTCCTACTTCCCACCCCAGCCTGGAGGCTTCTCTGAATCATTATCCACCTCCCAGCAGAGACCAAGTTCACTGTGAAGGTGGAGCTGGCCTTTTCAGACAAGAAGTATCCCCACTGTGTAGTGATTAAGGGTGTCTAGCTGCGTGATTTTCTAAACCTCAATTTCCTCATCTATAAAATGGGGACATATTAGTGCCTATAGTACTTAGAGAGCTATTATGAAGCATAAAAGGAGACACCGTGATGTGTCTCACTCACACATGATAAGCTCTCAGTAAACCTAGCTATGCTACAATTATTTACCTTGTGTGTTCTTCTTGTTATTTATTTGCATTTTGGAGGGTTTTTTTCTCTTCTTTTTTTCCTTGTGTGTTCTTCTGATTAACTATTTAAAAATAATTATTCCTAATCCTAATATAGGGTGGATATAATGTAATATAACCTGAGTTCGCATTCAATAAATAAGATTTCAGCTTCACCTACTGTTTCTGTCTTTAAAATCTGAGTAGACCAGGAGGCTCATGTACTTCAGTGAAAACCAAAACCAACAAAACCCAACTATCTGTTGACATTCTTCTTCCCTACTTCCATGCCAAACAAAAAATTTTTTGTTTTGTTTCAAAAAAAAAATTTTTTTTTGTTTTGTTTCAGGATTTTTGCTTATGCTTCCTTGAAAGCAATGGCTGAATCTTGTACACCACTATCTCCCTAGTTCTTGGCCCAGCACCGAAAACACAGTAGACGTCAATGATATTTTTGTGTTAAAGTAGTGAACCACCTGAGAGCTAATGCTCAGGTGCGGGGAATCTTTAAGAAATATACATTTCATGTCTTCATATGAGCAAAATGTTGAGCTACTGTAGGGGCCATGTTCGTTTCTTTCTATCTCACACACCACCCAGAGCAATGCTTTATTTATAATTATCTCTCTGCTGATAACTGAAAATTATCTTGCCATTGATTGAAAATTTCATCATCGAATAAAATGCTGACCTATTTAAATAAATAGTTTTGCTTTATTATTTTACTCAAAGTGATTTCATTGCAGTGTCAAGCTAGCTAAATTCCAGAAGTAAAGCAACATAAGGAAAACGTCCTAGCCTGGGAGTCAGGGGACCTGGATTCTAACCTTGAGACTAAACAATGAGAACTTGAAGAAACTGTTTAATTGCTTAGGGTTTATCATTCCTCAATTGAAAATAAGGGGTTTGAGCCAAATTGTCTCTAAGGTCCTTCCCACCCCAATGAATCTCTGATTCTAATAATACCAACCTGCATTTCAACATTTGTTGCTTCTCTGCCCAAGTCTTTTGTGGTATTTCCTCTCCTACTAAGCACAAGATTTCGGTTTTCAGGATCTGTTTCACTTGCCATTATTTGGCAAGAGTTATTCTCTTTCTCATCAAGAGCTAATAGTTCTGCAGCAAGACAACCTAATAGTTCATCTGTCAATTCTTCATTCTTTACAGAGTCCAGAATTTCTTGGGAAATTGAATTTGCATCATTTAAAGTTTTTCCGAATGTTTGATATGTGAATGACTTACTTGCTAAACTATCATGATCCAAAGAATGTGCCCAGTGTTGATATGTATGGGAAGATGCATTTTCTTGTTTCTCATGGAAAGAGAAACTCATAAGTGTTTTAGACTTATCTGAAACACTATCAAACTCAAGATCTTTAGTTAAAAGTTGGCTGGCATTTATTTTACCAAGAGATGCTATATTCTGCTTTTTTTGCAATACATGCTTGTTAGAACTCTTCTCAGTGGGCACTGCCCAGCTGTTTTCTGAAGAAACAAATGGGGTTTGGTGATGAAGCTCTTCAAGTTCTTGCAGATCTCTAAGGCTTGTGATGAGTACGTGATGGTTAGAATTGTCTCCTTCATCAGCAGATCCTTCCATACAAATTTTATTAACAATGGATAAATCTGAGGCAGGAAGGAATTTGTTCTGTTCAGTGGACTGCTCAAGAGTATGAGCCAAGTTTATGGGCTGAACTTCATCTTTGGAAGATAGAAAGTCATTGCCTGAAGATTTTATCTGCCAGTCTGTTTCTGAAATATCATCATTTCCAATGTCTTGTAGGTGGCTACCTACAGTCTCAAAACTCTTTTCTTTAGAAACTAAATCTTTGTGCTTTTGTTTAATGCCAAGTGAAGCCTTTGGGAGTTTAGTATGTGGTTTTTTCTGAGAAAGTCTTGTTCTACTATCGCTGTTCCTGTCACTGTGTGAAGATCGACATTTACTGGTGACACATCTGCCCGGTGGAACTGAGCATATCTGGCGGTTATATTTGTTTTCATGCCGTTCCACCTCTCGCATGTGACAATAAACAGGGGTCCCAAACATTTCATAGATTCCAGGTCCATCAGCAGCTGAGTTGATTTCTTTGAACATGTCACTGTACTTAAGATCTAGGTAATTTAGTCTTGGCTCTGGTGGTTGAAGAGAGAGAGAAACACATGACTTTTTTATTCCTGGATTTTTACAGATGCAAGGAAATGATTGTTTTTTAGGTTTCTGAGTCCGGTAAGTTAATTGCTTCTTTTCTGTCTGCGGCATTCTCCTTTGAAACTTGGGCAATTGCCGAGGCTTGGGGTCAACAAGCCCTAACGCAGGGAAAACTTGAGGTTTTATGCTGGTTTTATGTGTGGTAGGCTTAATGGGACCTTCAAAGGAAATCATGAAATTCTGAGCTGTCCTGTTACTTGTCTTGGTCTTCGAATCCAACTTATTTCTATGTGTATTCACCTTATACATGTCATTTTCCTGGTGGGCAAGTTTGTTGAAGCTATTGCTGTTAAGAACAGTGCCCTTTCTTTTTTGGAGGTTTGGTTTGGTTATAGCTGGTTCCTTGGGAGTTTCATCTCCAGGGAGAGTGATGTGGATAAGAGGCACCATCCCATTCACTTCTGGTTTGGTTGCTTCTGCTATTGATATTTTTATGTTTGTCTCCATGCCACTATGACTTTTTGGAAGCTTCTCAATGGGTCCATCAGAGACTACATTGGACAAGCTTTTAAATACAGTAAACTCTTCTAAAATATTGTCCGGTTGAATTGCTTCACCCTTAGGTAATGAAGTGCTTTTTGAATCAGCTGTATCGTTTCTAATCTCTTCATCCTGGCTTGGAGTTATTTCTGAGTGCCGGGCTTCTTGGAGCTCACTTAGAATGGTACATACAATTTCTGAATCTTGTTCATAGTTTCTGACTACTGAACTCTCTTTCTTTCTTGATGGAAAATTTTGAGAGTTTTCTTCTGATTTTCTCATTTCACTACCACAGCAGTCAATATTCTGTTCCCTATCTGTAGGAATACTGCCTTCCTTAAAATTCTCAAAGGACAACGAAGACTGCCCTTTTTCAAAGTGAGAGATTTCAATTTTGTCACATCCTTCTATTTCCTTGGATTTCCAGTTCTCCGTCTCCAGGTGTTGTCTGTGGTGGTTAGCCTTCCAAAAAGAGCACATATTTCTTGACCAAATGGAGCTATCAGAAGACCTGAGGGTCTGATCCACCAGCACCTTAAGTGAGGCTTCCTGCTGCTTCTTTGATGAAGTGAACTCATCAGAGTGACTAACAGGCTCTTTGAGTTTAGGTACTAAGGACGTGAAGCTTGGAATATTTCTTTCTCTCTCTTTTGAAACCTTGTGATTTGAGGGGATAGTATGGACATCAGATCTAATGGGCAAGAATGACAATGGTGGCAGAGGGAACTAAAAGGAAAGAGAAAAAAAGCTATGAATGCAGAAACTTAAATAAGTAGCATGTTATCTACTTCAAAGTACTATGAAGAGATTCTAATATTCTCTTAAGGAAGGCCTTTAAAGTACAAAGCTATCCTGCAGATCACAATTTTTAAAACTAAAATCTCATTCCCAATAGTTCTTTAGAACCAAGGTAAATCAATACTTTTAAAAACCAAGATTATTATAGATGTAAATATTAATGGTTATATATATTTTAATGAAGGTCCTATAATGTAAATGTTAAAAATGTAAGATAAGAAACATTTCCTTTCTGTCCTCTGTTTTTTACTTTCCAGAGAATTAATTTAAGATTTTTGAAATCCCCATTAGAACAGTTTAAAATTATTATTACATGTACTTTTACAGTGATCATTTGGTTATTGACTACCTCAGAATTTGTATCTGGAACACAACTGCTCATCATTGTTTTGCAGAATTGTCTGCTTGAGGGCGGCTTATAAAGATGGCTTTATACCTGAACATTTGCAACCCTGTGGCTTTTCATTCTGCTTTGCCCTCCAGCTATTTTCAAACTAAGCTCTTTTATTATTATCAACCTCTAGAGGTCAGTATAACCCAATAGATAATATTCAGCTTTGTGGCCATTATCAAACTCCTTAATTTTATGCTTTTTTTCATTGTGGCCTTTTCCCGTGTTTACAGATTTGATACCTAATTATATGAGAATGCTTACAGGCATGGATCATGGGTGGCAATTGAGAGCTATATGTTTAATTTTCATTCTGCTGCAGCCATGTGTAAGAAGGAAGGAAAAGGGAGCTAACACTAGAAACTTAGGCATTAGAAATAGGTGAGATACAGTAAATCCCCCAGCTTTATTGTCCTGATGACTTTCTTTATTTCTCAAAAATAATTTAGGAAATAATGGCAGATTCTCCCAGTACTTAAACATCTCCCTAGTAACAGCCATTAAATTTTTTTTTTTTTAAAAGATGACCGGTAAGGGGATCTCAACCCTTGGCTTGGTGTTGTCAGCACCACGCTCAGCCAGTGAGCAAACAGGCCATCCCTATATAGGATCCGAACCTGTGGCCTTGGTGCTATCAGCACCGCACTCTACCAAGTGAGCCACGGGCCGGCCTAGCCATTAAATATTTCAGGCCAATAAACTTGTACAACACTAAGCAGTACCTATGCATAAGTATTTCCTCAAAGACTCGTAGGATACAGAAGGATCAAATAGCTAAGAAAACCAGAGAACTGCAAGTAGGTTTCCAAAAGCTTTGCTTATAAATTTGACACCTAGAAAAATCTTTCCACCACTGGAAAAAAGAATTATCTAATTTCTAGATAGATTAAAAGAAGACTAATTAAAGTGTGCCTAAGAGAGCTACTCACCTCACTCTGCAGACAACATGAAGCACCCCCATAAAAGCAATGCACATGGCCAGGCATAATCTTCCCTGGAATGATTCACTATTCTATAAATTATATGTGAGTTTTTGATTTTCCAAGATATAATTGCTGAGAATCTGGTTCTGAATTTTCTGACAGAGTTTGTCTTTAACAACAAAAATTCTTTGGTGTTAATTCTTCATTCAAAAATGCTAAAACTAGTCTTACCTCAAGTCTTCGGCTACTGTACTTCATATCAGAGGTAGAAGACTCTGCAACAAGAAAATAATAATAATTGGATATTCTTTTTTTTTTTTTTTTCCTTTTTGTCTTTTTTCGTGTCCGGCAACGGATCGCAACCCTCAGTGTCGCGCCCGTACCGGACCGGGACCGGCAACGGGATCGCAACCCTCGGTGTTGCTCCCACACCTCGCTCAGCCAGTGAGCAGGAACCGGTCTGTACATGGGATCCGAACCCTCGGCAGGAGCGCCACCACGCTTCCCAAGCGGCGCACTGTAGCAGTGCGCCACCGGGCCGGCCCGGATATTCTTAATAGTAGAGTAAACAGTCTTAAACTAGGGATTGGGGATGTAGTAATCTAGATGCTGAGATTTGAGAAGCTGTACAAATTAAGAGTTTTTCCCTGTGTAATCTATATGGAGGTGGGTATGGAATGATTATACAAAACTTCAGGCTACTGAAGGGTTGTTGTTTTATATTTATATCTATATTCTGACAGGAAACTGGAGATCTCTGGATCAGAGAACAGACCATTTATTACTCACAGAGCATCATAACACCGGAACCCCATATCGCAATCCCTCTCATGCGACATAAGGAGACACAGACACTTACCCACAATGTGCTGGGGTGGCACCACAGGAGGGAATCTTGAAATTACAAGACTCTGGTGGTATACAGGGTGACTGGAACTCTGGTCCACCCAGAGTGGACCATTCATTTACAATGAAATGCGGAAAATATTTCAGGAGAAAGGTGCCCCTAGGTTTTATTATCCTACAATGTAAGCAAACAGCTCCTGGGGAAACAAGCCTCTAAATCTCTCTGGAGTAATACACTATCTCTAACTTCCATGTCTGCCATTCAATCATCTTTTAATCTAGTTTCCTAGTGTTTTTTTTCTTAGAAAGATTGGACTGTGCAGAAATGTGAAAATATTCATGCATAATTGTCTCCCAACAGTTGTTTGAATTAGAAAGGTCATCAATTCTGAAAGGAGGGTATGGGGAAGAGAGGGATGGGGCTTATGAATTAGTGTAATATCTACAAGTCATTCTCTTCTTACTGAAAAGTCAGAATGGTTCCCCAAATCCTACCCGCCAACACAGATTAAGGCTGAAGCCAAAAGCTCCAATGTCTCCAGGGTCAACGCAGGTTACATAAATGGATGAAGTGGGACAGGTAGGGACAGTGGACAGGTAGGGACAGTGGTGAGTTGAGACCATGTGTCCCAACTAAAGGGGCATCATTACCCAGCTCTAATTGATGTCCAATCCAGAGGGATAATCAAGCAGTGCTAGATCTTCCAATTGTCAAGAGAAGTCAGAGAACTGCAGATTTTATGTGAAAACTCCCTCCTCCTCTCTTGTTTATTAATGCTGTGAGGGCCAAACAAAATATGTATGTAGGTCCATTTCAGTCACAGGCTGTCATTTTGAAATTTCACTTAGAAACAGACTTCTCTAAGATGTAACACAGGTAGGAAAACCAATCTCAGGTGAAAATAGTCACCTGAGAAGAGGATCTCAACAGGAGGGGACACAGGCATTCCTCTTAGCCACAGCAGGCTAAGGCATCCCTCCCCCCCCCCAATTCTTTACCCATTTATTCAACAAATATTTATTGAGTAGCCAACATTGCCCAGAAGATGGCAATGTATAGTTGTGAACAAGACAAAATCTTTGTTCTCATAGGAGTCTCATTATAGAGGTTGAGATCTTCTGTTGAAAAGATATTAGAAGTTAATCCAGAAATACAACTGAATATAATTTATGATTGGATGCATATGGATAACCTCCTGAGTTAAAAAAAAAAAAAAAAAAAAAAAAAAAAAAAACATCTTTCAGGTATTATTATAAATATTTGAATAAATGGTAGCCAGTGTTGGTCAGGAATGACAAGCGTAGTGAGGCACACTGAAAGATTTCTGGTGGGAATATAGAGGTAAGATCCTTCCAGCAGGTAATTTGGCAATATGTGTCAAAAGTCTTTTAAAATGCGTAGAGAGTTCCAGTTAAATTTGGTGATTGAATATACAAAGTTTTCTCCATTTTCTCCACAATTTTCACTAAAATGACACTATAAGGAATTTTAAAACAAGTAAATAATGACAAAAAAAAGAAAAACCCAGATGATAAAACAGCAGATGAGCAATATGAACAAAATTCTGGACAGTGAAAACTGCATGGATGAATGACAACTGATTTAGTTGTCAGCTTTCTCTGTTCTGCTCAATGCCTGCAGGGAGAGGACTCAGCAAGAACTAAGAACCCCAGAAAGGAGCAGGAGTTGAAGATACCAATTCTGAAGGCGGGGACACAGGTGAGGCTGGAACAAGAGAGTTGTTCGTAAGTCTGTATGAGGAGCAGGTTCCAGATCTCCTGTCTTGCCCCACTAGTCAGGAGCTGCTCTTCTCCTTTCCTGGCAGATGCTGAAAGTTTACTCTCTGGATGGCTTAAAACAAAGATTTTAAGGAGCTAGGTATAGCTGGAAGCAGAAATGGGATACTGGATTCAGTAAAAGTCTGTGCACTGAAACATGGAGCCCATTCAGTGCCAGGAACATTGGCCTCCAGCCTCATAACCTATGGGCAGGAGCTTGGATTATCCCTCTCTAGGGAAAACTAGCTGAGAAAAAAGGACAGGTATGTGCACTGTCACTTGGGAATCCTTCAACCAATTGTCCAGGTCTCTGCCCTTTCAACTCCTCTGAGGCTCACGCAACGAGCCCACTCAAACTACACAGCCCTTTTTAGTGCCCCTCTCTTATATACAAATAGATAGCCAAAGATCAACTATGTGAGAAAGTCCTCTAACATGAAAATACACAGAACAAAAACTGAAAGAAAGAAAATAGCTCAGAGAAATTAGAGACAAAAAACTATCATTAATATGCACTCTTTCTCAGGAAGCTACTGGAAAATGTGCCCCACTAAATGAGGGAGTAAGCCATGTGTCCAGTACACAGGGGCTCCACACAGCAGGGAGGCAAAGGAATTTCCAGAATGATGGTGAAGGGGATCCCAGATAAGCAGCTGGGCAGTAGGTCCAATGAGCAGGCAGTGCAGAGTGAAACAGGAGGGCAGAAGTTTCCAGGAGCAATGTCTTAAAAAACAAAAGGAACCAACGGATTACCTGATGTGTAATTGTCTGTACTGAGATGTGTTTTAGAGGCCGGTTAGACAGGGTGGGGTTGAGTTACTGGCAGATATGCAGAAAGTAAACAAATGATGAAATGAAGCAGTTATTAATGCCATGATAAATGCAAAGTCTAAAAAGAAAAAAAACAGCTGGCTGCTTAGCTCAGTTGGTTAGAACCCAGCCTTGTAACACCGAGGTCATGGGTTCGAATCCCCATACCAGCCAGCCCCTAAAAAAGGAGGGGGGAGCTGAAAAGAAATGTAATTGGCACACTATGGGGCTCAGCTGTGAGTATCTTCCCTTGTCATAATAATGGAGAGATTGGATATTGTTTCTTTTTAAACACAAGATTGGGGATTGCTTGCATGTGAGGAGAGTAATGTAAAAGTGTTAAATCCTAATAGATAAAGTCTAAATTGAATAATCAAGAAATATTATAAATATGATTATTTAGAAATATGGGAGTACACTCTAGAAGAAATGGCCTCAAAGTGCTATTTGTACTTCTTATTTTATTTTATTTTATTTTTATTTATTTATTTATTTATTTATTTTTTGTGACCGGTAAGGGGATTGCAACCCTTGGCTTGGCGTCACTTGCACCGCGCTCGGCCAGTGAGCGCACCGGCCATCCCTATATAGGATCCGAACCTGCGGCCTCAGCGCTCCCAGCACCGCACTCTCCTGAGTGAGCCATAGGGTCGGCCCATGTACTTCTTATTTTAAATTTTTGCTCCTCTGTCTTTTCTGAATTTTTCTTAATGTATATGGATTGTCTAATTTTTTTAAAAAATTGCTTTTAAACAAATAAAAAGAAAAGCAAATAACCACTTGTTAGGGGAAGCCAAGTTGACATTTTCAGACAAGATTATAGCACCTGTGGAGTAGCTGCATCACAAACTACTGACCTAGTTCAGTTTATTCTTGCCTGGGTGTGCTACTTGTTACATCTTCAAGATTCTCTGTGGTTTGGCTACAAGAGGAGGATGTTTCCAGGATCTCCAATTCAGTCTCTTTATCCATCCTCCACTCCAGGTTGTACCTGCACCAACAGCTCCTCCTTCTAAACACATCTTCACTACAAGACTATTGTTTTTTGTTTTTTGTTTTTTTGTCCTTTTTGAGACCGGCCACACCGCGCTCAGCCAGTGAGCGCTGTGAGCACACCAGTCATCCCTATATAGGATCCGAACCTGCGGCGGGAGTGCTGGGGCACTCCCAGCGCTGCACTCTCTTGAGTGTGCCACGGGCTCGGCCCTCAAGACTATTGCTGCTTATTCTTTTTTTCTCTCATAATTAAGTGGGACTCAGACGAAAGGTATGATTTCTGAACGTAGAAGGTTTGGTGCTTAGGCACATTGGCTTCAAAGACAGGTGGTTCATGTTTGAACCCAGCCTCTGTAACTCACTAGCTACTTGACCTGAACACACACTTAACTTCCTTAGGCCTCAGTTTCCTCATTTCTTTTTTTTTTTTGTCTTTTTTTTTTTTTCGTGTCCGGCAACGGATCACAACCTTCAGTGTCGCTCCCGTACCGGACTGGGACCGGCAACGAGATCGCAACCCTCCGTGTTGCGGCCGCACCTCACTCAGCCAGTGAGTGGTAACCGGTCTGTATGTGGGATCCGAACCCTCAGCGGGAGCACCCCCACACTTCCCAAGCGGCGCACTGTAGCAGTGCGCCACCGGGCCGGCCAGTTTCCTCATTTCTAAAGCAGGGATACTAATATTATCAAGTGGATATGTGTGCCTTGCAATAGTAGGCACTCAATAAATGGTTATTATTGTTGTTATTATTAATTCAGTATGTATTTTTAATAGTTATGTGCCAGGTATGATGCTAGATGCTTGGAGGTACAATGATTCTTGCCTTTATAATCTGATGACACTGGCATGTAAACAAATAGTGACCATTTAGCATGATGCGTGTTATGTTGTAGGTAAGGTTGGGATCCTATGGGATTCCAATGGGAGTGGCAACTCATCCAGTCTTGGGGAGGTTCAGAAAGACTTCCCAGAAGAAATGGTATCTACAATGAGACCTGAAGCATGGTATAATGTTCCTGCAGAAAGAACAGTATGTGCAAATATTTACATATTTGTTTAGGGAATGGAAGGCATTTAGTAGTGCTAATGTTTGTCATACTGCTGAGGAAGAGTGGCAAGATATGAGGCCAAAGAAGGGCTTCTGAGAGTTGGGAGCTCCCTTTTGCAGATTTCAAGGAACAAGACCCTGGGTTCCCTTCACAGTCCAGACTTGATGTCAGCCCCTTTACATACAGCCTATCAAAACACTGCTTCAACATCATGCCAAGTGAAATAAGCCAGACAAAAGGACAAATGTTGTATGATTCCACTTATGTGAGGGACCTAGAATAGTCAAATTTATATTGAGACAGAAAACAGAATTACCAGAAAATAGATTACCAGAGGCTTCAGGGGAAAAGGGAAAAGAGAGTTATGTGTAATGAGCAAAGAGTGTCAGTTCTGCAAGATGAAAAGGTTCTGGGGATGAATAGTGGTGACGGTGGCACGACAATGTAATTGAACTGCTTAGAATGGTTAAAATGGCAAATTTTATGTGATGTACATTTTACAATGAATTTTTTTTTAAATTTTAAAGCTCTGCTATTTAATTTCACTTAATCTGTACACTTCTCTCAAAATTCTATAATATTTATTCTGGGTTTTTTTTTCTCAGTTTGGTAAGATGCCTCACGGTTCCTCTGGTGTACAGTCTCCCTCATTGCAATAAGCCAATAAATGCAACTTGTTGGATTATAGGTTTGTTCCTGGTGGTTTAGGCTGATTGGTTTAGGACAGTGGTAAGCAAACACCAAAGACAGTATTGCCCCCAGGAGAAATGCTGCCATCAGTGCTGCTATCTGGTAAATAAGTCTTGGGCTCAATATAGCTGGAAGTTGGCTCTTAGAATCCCACACTAACTTAAGGATCCAGGAATGAGGCTAAAGCGGACTCAAGTCTGTAACGATCTTGGTACCTAGCAGAAGCAAACTCACATCCTTCCTGGAAAGCACCCTCAGTGTAGGCCCCAAGATTCCCAGATAAACATCAACTGAATATGAGCTCACAATAAAGATCTTCAAACACTCAAGAAAAAAACAGTAGTACAAGGAACAGAGTAGTAGAAACCAGGAACAACAGATTTGGAATGCTAGGGATTTCATATACTACAACTATCAAATACAGTGTATAAAATAACAATGTCTTAAATGTTTAAATAAATAAAAGATAGAATCATAAAAACAACCAGGTGAAGAATTTGGATCCCCATACCAGTCAGCTGCCAAAAAAAAAAAGTCATCAAAACAAGACATTCTTAATAATGAACAGAGGATATTTGAAAAAGAAACAAATGGAACTTTTAGAAATTAAATATAATTGTTGAACTAAAAATTAAAATTAAAAAAAAAGCACAGATGAATGGATCAGAATGATATACCACTGCTATCTCAATGAGACAGCACTGCACGTACACCAGAATGGCTAAACTTAAAAAGACTGGCAACACCAAATGTTTGTGAGGATGTGAAGCAACTGGAATGTTATACATTGTTCATAAAGATGTCAGATGGCACAAAGACTTTGGAAAAGGTTCTGGATGTTTCTTAAAAACTAAACAAACATATGACCTGGCAATTTTACTCTTAGGAATTTACCCAAGAGAAAGGTCTTTACAAAAAGACTTGTACAGGAATGATCATTGCAGCTTTACTTATAATAGTCAAAAGGTGGAAGCAGCTCTGATGTCCAACAATAGAAGACTAGATAAACAAACTGTGGGGTATGCATACAATGAAATACTATTTGTCAGTCAAAAAGAATAAGCTATTGATATATGCGACAATATGGATGAATCTCAAAAACATAAAGGGAAGTGAAAAAAGGCTTGCATAAAAAAATATATGCTGTGCACTTCCATTTATATGAAATTCTAGAATAGGCAAAACTAATCTATGGTGGAAAAAACTCAGAACAGTAGTTGCCTTGAGGGGGCAGGTTAGTACTAACTGGGAAGGGGCTTGAGGAAACTTTCTGGGGCTGAATTTAATGTTCTATAGCTTGACAAGGGTTTGGGTTTCACAGGAATATGCATTTGTAAAAACTTAGGAAATACACACTTGTACATTTTTTTAAAAAGAAAAAACTGCAAACATATATTGAACTGTAGTTAGTGATAAGAATGCTAAAAATTGGGGGAAATGTGTACTGATATTTGCAATTTACTTTGAAATGCAACAAAAATTAAGATGGGTCAATGGATGGATAGAAGGCTAGATAGATGAACAGATATATGATAAAGCAAATATACTAAAATGTTAAAAGTGGACTAGGTGGTGGGTCTACAAGTGTTCACTGTAAAATTCTTTCAACTTTGCTGTGTATTTGGAAAATCTTATTATAAAATATTGCGGAAAACAATGGATGGGTTTAACAGAATATTAGATAATGCCAAAGATGGTTAGTGAACTGGAAGATTTACAAAAATAAAATTACTCAGAATGAAGCCCAGAGAGAAAAGGAAATGGGAAATCTGAAATACAGGTTAAAAGATATGGAAAAGAGAAAAAGAAGTGCTAATATATAATCTAAGGTAAGGGTTCTTAACCAAGGCTGCACATTATTCAGGAAAGATAAAACTGTAAGATACAATTTATAATTCTGTACCTATTTAAAAAGCATATTGAAAAAGGCTGCTTAAACTTGCATTTCAGATCGCCCTCTGAATTCCCCCATGTCATTCATAATTCTTCCAAGGCACTTGCCCCTCTGACTCTGCTCTGGCTATACTGGCCTTCTTGTTCCTGAAACATTCTTCCTTAGAATATACACATGACTCATTCCCTCATTGCCACAGAGACCATATGGCCCACATAGCCTAAAATATGTATTATTTGGCCCTGGACACATAATGTTTATTGTGGTCCTGCTATCTAACTTGTGTCCACCCCATTGCAGTTCAAATCCCCTTTCTTCCCCAAAATATACACATGGTTCATTCTCTCTTCTTTTTCAGGTGTTTGCTCAGGTTTCCTTCTCAATGATGCTATCCCTCACTCACTCTATTTAAAATCTCTATTTAAAACTGCCTGCTCTGGTCTACATGTCTGTCCCCCCCCCCCAAATTCATATGTTGAAATCCTAACGCCCAAGGTGATTATATTAAGAGGTGGGCCTTGCAGAGCTGATTAGGCCATGAGGGAGGACCTCGTGAATGGGATTACTGCCCTTGTAAAAGAGGTCCAAGAGAGACCCTCACCCCTTCCACCAAGTGAGGATACAGTGAGAATTTACTATCTATGAATCAGGAAACAGGCCTTCACTAGACATCAGATTTGCTGGTACCTTGATCTTGGACTACCCAGCCTCTAGAACTGTGAGAAATAAATTTCTGTTGTTTAGAAGCCACCCAGTCTATGGTATTTTGTGCAGCAGCCTAAGACACTGCCCCATTTTTCTTCCCCGTTTGTTTTTTCTCCAAAGCATCTCCATCTGATATAGCACACATTTTACTTGTTTTTCAGTTTATTGTCTGTCCCTCATGCTTCCCACACCCCATAGGAATGTAAATTCCTCAAGGCAGGAGTCATTGTTCATCTTGTTAATTGCTGTATCTCCAGCATTTGGAACAGTGTCTGGCACAATAAATAAATATTTGTTGACTGAAAGAATGAAGGAATCATTGTGGAATTAAATGTTCAACTTACCTTCAGATTTTCTTTGCTGCCCGTTTAGAAAATGAGAAGCATCTTCTCTGATTACAGACTTGGAAATGTTTGGTTCTAAACAAGGTCTTGGCAACAAAAAGCCCAGGTTCAGGTCGCAGAGCTCCTTAGAATTTTCCTCTTTCTTGAGAAGTAAAGGCTGCACGGTCAGTGTCTTTGTCTTGAGGTCCATCATCTCAATTTCATTTGGAGGAGAAGCAGAATGTGCTTGTGCCCATTCTTGATGCACTGAGGTTATCTGACTAAAAGGAGTAGAAATGGTTTGATTTAAAACTCATGCACCGTGTCTTCTGTATCTCCAGTTCTCAGTCCAGCCCAACAGCACTTGTTTAGAGAACTATTTCCAAATGGTGCTGCTGAATGGAATGGCTGTACCCTAAGAGGACAAGACCTCTCTACCCTCCAGCTCTCTCACCACCTCCTCTGCCCTCTGCACCCAGGACCATCACCTGATTGAATTAAGTTTCAGCCCACTGCACTATTCCCAACCCCCATTTCCTTGAGCAGAGAAATCAAACAAAAGGCAGGCACAGAGATGTGCCCTTTTATCCCCAAGGGCATTGACTAGCCCAGAGCTTCTCAAACTGTCTTGATGAAGGGCCAGTTTTTAAATTTCCTAATCCATTGTGGACTGATACTTTCGTTGAATTAAGTTTCAGCCCACTGCACTATTCCCAACCCCCATTTCCTTGAGCAGAGAAATCAGACAAAAGGCAGGCACAGAGATGTGCCCTTTTATCCCCAAGGGCATTGACTAGCCCAGAGCTTCTCAAACTGTCTTGAAGAAGGGCCAGTTTTTAAATTTCCTAATCCATTGTGGACTGATACTTTCGTAAAATACAATAAAAGTGAATTACTATAAAAGTGAAAGGAAAATAAAAAACATGCAGAAAACAAGCCCAATTTTTGTATTGTCTGATCAATGAACATAAAATGACTTTGTCAAATTGCTATAGAACTTTTTCAGTGGTTACTCTCCAGTTCTGTACTAATCTCATCGTAGACTGATGATAGGATTACAGAATCACATTTTGAGCAGCACTGCTCTAAGAGCAGGGTAGTGAACTACAGCCCGTGGGCCAAATCCGGCCATAGCCTGCAATTGGATCACAACCACACTCATCTGTTTCCATGTTGCCTATGGCTGCATTCAAGCAACAATGGCAGAGAGGAATCATTGCAATGGAGACCATATGGCCCACAAAGCCTGAAATATTTATTATCTGGCCCTTGCCACATAATATTTATTGTCACCCCTGCTTTAGAGCATTGTTTTGGGTTGAGTTACTAAAAATACAGGTTGCCACACAAGTACCATTATTTCATACTTAAGTTTCAACCTAATACTTCAAAGAATATTCCTTACTTTTTTTCTTTTAAATCTTCTTGGTTCATTTCTTGGGGATGACTGACATATCTTGGAAAAGTCACAATAATCTCAACACCTATAGAAACACATGACAGTAGTAGAAGGAAGAAGAAAGTAATGAATTCCAGTGGTAAGCAAGAGAAGTGTTTTATTTCTGGCTATTTGATTAATGTGTTCTCAGTGATTACAGAATGGACATTAACGAGGGACTGAGATCCAGCCATCTTTGTATCTTTCCTTGTCAGCATATGGTAGGTCCTAAATAAACGCTTGCTTAAAGAGCAAAAAAAATTTTCAAATGTAAAATAAAGTTTTGTAATGACCAATGTTGATGCTTGGATAGAGAAAACCAGCCCTCCTTCTATAAAGTGTAAATGATGACATCTACCTCACAGACTTGTCATGAGGAATAAGAAATTTATGTAGCCTCAAAGCAACTTGCTTGTATTTATAGTTTTAGCCATCTCCTTCCTGATTCCATGGAATGATCCCCAGTATAACTCTTAAAACAGAAAGTTCCAATTTATAGAATCAATGCTTCCTTAAAATATAACATGTTAAGCAAATTTACATAAAAAACTAGTGTGAACCACTCTGAAATTCTCTGTACTTTAAGGGTTATTTATTCATTCATTTTTCTCCATTCAACAAAGTTTTATTAGGTATATGCCAAACCCAGTACTTTGTGCTGAAGGTATAGAAATAAACAAGATGCAACCGTGGCCCTAGTAGAGAAGATAAATAAGAAAGCAAAGAGTGGAGCGAGAAGAGCATGTGATAGAAGTGTGGAATGATGGTGTGGGAGCACAGAGGAGTGTCCTTCCAGGAGGATGCAATGCTTGTCCCGGTATTCATTCCTAGTCATGTATTTGTCAGAGCCATTTACTCAGTCTGCATATGCCTAGAGGAGCAATGGTCTTATATGCTCCACTAACTGAAAGTTAGGGACAAAGTATACCACGGAGGTTAAGGGTAGGGTGTGAATCAGACAGATCTGAGTCTACATCCCTCCTCTGCCACTTCCTGGGTGATCTTGTGAAAGTTACTTAATAGCTATCACCATTATGATTACCTCAATTAGTAGATTTTTATAATTTTTAAGGGACTTTGGATATTTTGTTAAATACATAGGAACTACCATTTTGAAAGCATTTTTACTGCTCAATTTTTATACCTGTGCCATTTAATAAGACTAGTACATTTAAAACACAGTAAAAATTTCCAAAAGGAAAAATTTTGTTTACAATCGGGCAAATGATAATAGCGTTTACTATCTTTGTCATCCTGTATCATATCTTGGGGTACCATGCAAATGTATCTAGCTTTGGTTTTCATGATGTTTGTCAAATAAGACAACCTGATTGCATGTTTTCTATTATTATACAATAGCAAGGAACACTTCTGTAAAAATGAAGTTTCCTTGGAATGGTCAATTGCTTTTCAACTTTTCAAAGATTTTATCACCACACTATGTAGCGCAAAATGAGAAGCTTGGAATTATAGAGCTGCGAGAAACTTAGAGGTCGTCTGATCCAAGCCCTTCATTTCAGAGATGAAGAAATGGATAGCCATGAGTTTCTGAGACATGCTCAAGATCATTCTTCTACTGGAAAAGAAGATGGATGTTTTTCATAATGTTTTTGTTTTGGTTTGTTTTGTTTTTTTATAACTAGTAATATTAATTGACAGCAGGCTTTGTGTTAGGTAGTGTGTTTGGTACTTTATATACATTACCTCATTTAACAATCTCAATAACACTAAGGGAACTTTTTAACCCCTTTTTAATTAGGCTTAGATAACATAAATCATAACGTTTTTGTAGTCATCCTTGAGTGTAAAACCTAGCTGATATGTTAGAGTGAGAAAAACATACAGCCTACATTCCTAATAACTAAACTGTCATTGAAAAGGATGTTCTGGTACAAAGGCTGTATGCATTTAGTACTTTGCAGTGGAAGCTAGAAAACTCAACAGAGAGTATTCACATGAACACGTAGTTAAGAACGACTGTACTTTTAAATTATCGAGTACTAATAAACTCAGAATGTTTTCAAACAAATTTAATGTGCTCAAGAGCCCATTAATTGGCTGATTTCTTTTTCAAACCAAGGAACAAAGACATAATAAGCAAGGATAAGAAATAGCTGCCTTTTTAGAAATCATTAAGAGCTAGTGGCTGCCATCCTAATTGTTGGTCCTAAATGGGAAAAAAGATTACAGCATGTACTGACTCTGAAATCATTTAGAAACATATAAATTTTCTCTTTGTTCTATCTCTGGAATACTGTGAGAGGCCAAGGGAGCTGTGGATAAGGGCTCTGAACTCACTCAGGAGGCCAGGAAAGACAATGCATCCTCACAGATAAAAATAAAACACTTGCTGCTGGCTGAGAGCTTTTCTTCACATAAGGAGGTATAAATTAACCCCACCAGAAAATATTACCATAGAGAGAAATTGAAAGGCAACATTTCGACATAGCCAGAAACATTTTCTTCACAGAAGAGGTGAAAATGACATTCATAAAAAGTTGGAAAATGATCATTAATTTGTTATTCGTGTTAAAGCCGTTATTATTAAAATGGAAACTTAAAATCTGGCCCAGCCTAACTCATTCAATGAAGAAAAATTATTTTCTTCAGAAAAGTCTTACTTTCTTGTGTGTTCTTGTTCTGTTTAAATTGATGGGCATACCTATCTAGATTGTGGTCATTGAGGTTTAAAATATTTTGATACTCTCTCTACATTTTTGATAATTTCCTACATTGTGAATCTCAACATAGACTTTTTTTTTTTTCCTTTTTGTCTTTTTTACTGACCGGTAACGGGATCGCAACCCTCGGTGTTG